GGTAAAGATTGCGCGTTCTTTCAGTTCCTTCCTGCTCAATTTCAAAATCAATATATGATTTCCAGAGCACCTCTGCCATGTCTAAGCGTGGCTGGCTGATGGCTAACTCGTAGATTGCATGGGCTCTCTCAATATCGCCAAGGATTGTTTCTAATTCTGCAAATTTAATCCAAGAGGTACAATTTTCAGGTCCAAATTCCAGGAACTTTTCATAAAGCTTCCGACATCTGTCAAATTCTCGAAGCTGTAGCTCCAATTCTATGTAACCTTTAAATAACTTGTTCTTTGGACATTTGCCTATGGAAGTCCCCAAACCTCTTCGGGCAAATGGTAAATTTTTCTGTCTTATTTCAAATTGTGCAGATAGTAGCCACATTTTGGCAAATGTGAACTTTTTATGAGGAATTAGTTCCAAAGAGGCTTGATACGCCTGTCTTGTCCTTTCAGGATCCTTTGCCTCCAGTTCTTCATAGACTGCATAGTTGACCCAAAGATAGATGTAACGCTTCCAATGTCTCTTCTCCTGAATGGGTGGGACATTGGCAATAGCTCTTTCATAGACTTCTCGTACAGTTTCTGCTTCTGCATCACTTTCCACCAAGCGCAGGTAATCAAACCAGGCATCATAATTGTGTGGATTAGCCTTCACTTCTTCTTCATATTGGAATCTCCGTTTGCTCACAATGATGTCTTCAATACCCCGCCTATCACCAAACTTCTTCTCAAAGATGGTATAATTTTTAAAGAGCTCTTGGGCCTCTTGTTTTTAAATTCTATCCAGGGCATATTTGTAAATAACTCGTACCCTTTCAAATTCTTTCTGATTTTCTTCAAATTTGGCAAAGGCAACATAAAGGCATTCATCCATATGTTCATCTCCAAAGAATTCCACAGCCCTCTCGTACACTTTCCGTGCATGGGCAAAATAACCATGTTTTTCTTCAAAGCGGGCATACTTGATCCAGTTCTTAACATCAGGGTGCACAAGTACAAATCTCTCATAAATGGTGCAGGCCCGATCCACTTCTTTGTATCGCAGCTCAAAGTTGATGTAGGAGTGCCAGGCTTGCTCCTCTGGCTGCCATTCCATCCAGCACTCAAACACCTACCGGGCACCAGCCACATTTCCCAGCATCTCCTCCATGTATGTGTATTTGTACCAGAACTGGTTGACTCGGGGCAGAGTTGTTATGGCCCGGTCCCAGATATTTCGGGCATGGTTGACCTGGTGATTCTTCATTTCCATTTCCGCATATTTCAGCCAGAGTGTAATATTTCGATAGTCCACATCTAAAGCACGTTCGTATATGGAGCAAGCCCTTTGAATCTCCTTTAGACTCTCTTCCCATTGTGCATATTTTATCCAGTTACTAATCACAGTCCTGTTTTTTCTTATGTTATCTTCAAAAGTCTTCCTTTTCCTTAGTTTGTAATCATTGAACTCTTCTTCATCTGTGATCTTCTGTTGAGGTGGAGGTGGAAGAAGCTCAAGTTCTCTTTCTTTAGCTTCTCTTAAAAGCTGTTCCGCAGTGATCTGTACCTCAGCTGGGGCTTTGTTTTTCACCTTGGCCACTTTGGGAATTCTCTGCTTCCCGGCCGAGGTGGAGGCTGCCATGGCTGCAGCAGAATTCGTTCGGTGAACTCGGGCGCCAGATGTTGGGGTCCAACCCCAGCAGGTCCAGGGGTTCCCAAAGGTGTGGACGGAGTTGGTGAAGAAGAAATGACACAGAGGCAGCGTTCAGATGATCAGCAAAGCCAGGTTCTCTGGCTAGGTTCTCCAGCCAGGTTCAGTCTTTATTGTCTTGTTACATCTGTATTTATACCAGTTGATTTTAATCCTATCAATTCTATTCCAAATGTTAGTTTCTTATCTCCATTCCAAGGTTACTCTATTGTTCTATTAAGCTACAAGGGAGTAACTGAAGGAGATTATCCTAAGTAAAGATTATATAGCTTAAGAGTGATTGTTCGTAGTTAAAGTGATTAATTACCCGCCTGGCACTTAGTTAAGGGGTTTTATTCCCTCCCTAACTCCAGGGAAACATCCTCACCTGGGGAAACAACCTTTCTCGGAGAGGTGACCTTGGTTAAAACACATAGCTCCAAGAAGGGGAGCAAACATATGCCATATACGCCAGGTCCCTTGAAACATAAGCTGTGCAGATGTTTCTTCCCTGCAGCGACTGTGTCAAGCAGCAAGGTGGATCGGCTTCCGGCACTACTTGAAAGGGAGTGTTTAGAAAAGACTCTTTGTGAATATGATACTTAAACTGAGAGGATAAGGAGCCGGGCTTGAGGGTGGTGGTGGGGTAGAGGGCCAAAGGGAGGAGGGATCAAGGCATTCTAGGCAGAGGAAACAGTGAAGTGCAAAGGCTTTAAGGCAGGGATGAACTTGCCATGTGTGAAGAGCAGAGAGAAGCTCAGTGAGCTTGAGGCCTAATGAATGGAGGAGGGAGTAGGACAGAAGAGCTTAGCTAGTCAGAACCTCCATTCTGCATCCCTTTACATGAGCCTAAGGAGTTTTGACATTGCTTGTAATGCAAAGCCATTAAAGCAGAGATAATACACAGAAAGTCAATAGTCTCTCCCTTAACATATTTTATGCCCAGCACGGTGTTTTGCCAACATTTCATTTCAAAACCGTGTGATTTCATATAAAAGTATACATTTGCAGCTTATCATGAAAAAAGCTGAAGATCTCTCCATACTAGACTCCAACTGTTTGGTGAGGCTGGGTGTAGTCCAATGTTGAGATTTTGCCAGACAAGTGCAAAGAAGGCGGGGGGCGAGGGGATTGGAGTTGAAGCTATTTTCAAGGTAATGCTTACAACGCTAAAGAACAGCGTCGAAGAACTGAAGACTGGAGGGGGCAGATGAACAGGACATGGCTCAGTGGCTTGGTCCTCTTAACGAGCTCAAAGAATTGTCGCTGGAAGTGGAGGAATGAACTGCTTCAATGTCCTTCCTTCAGGGCAGCGCGGAACCCACACTGCAGCTGCGTTCATTCAAATCACAGTGATCCGCTTCCCTGGAGCACAAGGGAGAATCCTTCAGTCCCCACCCCTGCCCCATAGGGAGCACTCACGCCTGGGAAAAACTCTGCAGAGTGTGGAGGGGTCACCGTTGGGATGTCTCATGACGGGTGGGAGCCCCCCTCCATCCCCAGGCGACGGAAGGAGGGAATAGCCGGCCCTTCGGACACTCCCAGGCGGGGGTGAAGGGAACCCTCGCTATCAGCCAGCGCGGCGCCCCCAACAGCTAGGGGATCGCGGATCCGCACCTGCCGCCCGCCCTTGGGAAGCGGCGCCCTCTGCCGCCCGCCCGTGGGAGCGCAGCGCGGCGCCC